ATATACCGCCGGTACCAAGCGGTATTATTCGAAATTGAAAACCTTGAGTTAAACATATGTAAGTTACTTTCTTATGCAAATTTTGTGAGATGGGCATAACTGAAGGACAATATCCATCTTAGAGAACTGAAGCATGAAATAGATTAAATTAAAAAAAAGAGCAAAACTAACTCATTACTCTAGCTTTTTTTTTTTTTTTTTGCCACCTAAGTTTCTCTGAATTCTTGTTTGAACAACCTAGGCACAATCCTAACCTCATTCTCAGCCATTCTGGCTACTCTCTTAGTCTCTTATGTTTTTCTCTCCTTTTCATCTCCCCCTCCATCAACTCAGGAAGTCTAATGCTGAATGCCAGCTGGCAGCCCCTCTCTTCTTCTCATCCCTCTACAAAATCTCTCTAATAATTTTGTCCCATCAAATCAATTCTCTCCATCCTCCATTGTACTCTAACTAATCCTCCTGCCATCTCCCACTTGTTATCATCAACTTCCCCTTTATATCCTTCACTTTTCTTCTCCCACTCCCTGGAATCCCACTACTGGCTTCCTGTAGGCCTCTTTGGAGAGACAAACTATGGATATAAGAACAATGCTATCCAATTAGTTTGCAGATTTCCTTCACAAAACCCAAGAATATATTTCTTAGGTTAGCCCAACTCAACCACACCAAACCCACCAAAACAAACAAACAATTAACGTCAACTGCTTTCACATGGTGCTCAGCCAATTTGTATTTCAGTTAATAGGTATCACTTCGAAATGAAGAAATGTTTGTTTCAAGTTGCAGTTAATGGATATCACTTTGAAATAAATATATGTTAGTTTCAAATTGAAGGATGGTAACCAGGCTGAACCTAAAATGAAAGTTTTTACAACAAAATTTCCTCCTAAAATTCTAAACCTAAATATGATTAGATTTCTTTTGATCTTATTGACTAGGACGAGTTGTGCCACCATAATAAGGTTCCTCCTCTATAATTTGGTTGACCACCACAGGAGTTGTGAAAACAAACCTCTTGACTGGGTAAAGCTCTATATTTTGACCCACCCTAGAACCTGTATTCCAGATGCCATGCACACCTTTTTACTGACACAATAAGATTGTTGATTCAGTCACGTATTTTTTGGCATTGGATCAAGTTTGTATTCCGTAACTCGGAATTTAAGACATAATCAACACTTTAAATTTTAGTAGTTTGAGTTCCTTCTCTTATTTGATGGCTTACAATATTTTTCTTGTTTAGATGTTTAAGTAGCATATTACTATTATAATAATCACTGTTGGAAACCTAATGCAAACTAAATGTATTGCATTTCCTATATTTTCTTGTTTAGATGTTCAAGTCACCATTGGATAGTCTGATCCTATCTTTTGTTAACTACTTAGATCTTCAAACTCAATAAAAGGTCGCTAGGAGAAATACTTGCCCATTATAATAAAATAAACGCCAGTTGACTTCGATTTTGTTCCGAGCAGGTTAATTCACTGCCAAGTTCGACTGCGTCCAATTTGTATCAGATGAAATCTTCACCTACCAAGTGAGGTGTTCCCTGATTCTTCTCCAGGACACGAGATCCTATTTCGCTAGAAACCTAAGAAACCCCTTTCACAACCCAAGAAATGGTTCCGCGTGTCAACCTTAGTCAACTTCAAGAAACGAATAAGGAAATCAGAGGGAGAGGGGGAGGGAGAGAGTACCTCTCTTGGCCGGCGGTATCCCAAATCTGGGCCTTGAGAACCTTGGTGTCGACGGTGATGCTGCGGGTGGCGAACTCGACGCCGATGGTGGACTTGGACTCGAGGTTGAACTCGTTGCGGGTGAAGCGGGAGAGGAGGTTGGACTTGCCCACCCCGGAGTCCCCGATCAGCACTAGCTTGAACAAGTAGTCGTAGTCGTCCTCCGCTCGGTATCCTGCCATCCCTCCCTGTCCCCTTATCCTCTTCCCTCTGCTCTCTCTCTTCTCTCTCTCTCTCTCTCTCTCTCTCTCTCTCTGCTCTGCGGCAACCACCGTCCACCACGGCTCAAGAAATAACTACCACCGAAGTTGTTCGGTGTAGTTTCGATCGGTCGAGGTGAGATTTTGGTGGAGACGGTGGATTGGATGATCGTCGGGGAAGAACACGATTAGCACACAGGAAGAAGCGTGAAAGAGAGAGAGAGAGGAAAGACAGAAAGAGGTCTTTTTTACCTGAAACGATTTTACTCGCCTCTTTACCACTCGTGTTATTGGGTTTAACTTGGGACCCGGATACTTGAGGCATGGTCTCTCGGAGGCCTATGGATCGGGCTTCGTTCGGAGGCGAGGAGAAGTGCCACGATGGACGGAAGGACAATCAAGGTTTGATAAAGGAGAGAGAAAGGTTATTTCAATCACCATACCTGTGTCTCCCCAGATCTCCTATTTCGTGTTATTGGTCCTATAAGGTTGGGCCCCACATGATTGAGGAATCTCTCGTCGATGGTGCAAGAATGGGGTATCGATCTTACGCGAGGGATTCAATTCACCGTTGCACTTTGCCTAACCCGTTTCCAGAAGGAAGGCGACACACCCTTCTGCCATCCAATGGAAGACGAAGCGGCAGGGGGGAAGAGAGCAGATGCTTGTGCTGGTCACCTTGAGCTGCTTCTCTCAAATGCAAATAAAACCTTTCTGGATTTGATCATTGAAAGTCCCATAATGATCTTTTCAAACCCTCGGGAAATGCAAGAAAAGCAAACTTAGATAGAAAAGAGAACAGAGATGTCAAGAAACAGTACAAAGAACAGACATTTCTTCCTCGTAAAGATGACACCTAAGAGTTATAGAAGCAATCATAGGTGAAATATCCTCCTCATTATAGTATTTAAGAGTCGACTTGGGGTGGCTCTTGGGACAATAATTCCACCTAAACCAACCTGAAGCCACCACTTGTGGGACCAATTGGAATTGGAGTCAACGCTGTTGATTTTTGGATACAGTAAAGTCAACTCAATAGCTGTTTCTCACTTCTTCTTCTACCACAAGCAACACATGAAAGAGAGTCATATCGTCGAACACACTAAGATAGAAAGGGAGCTGAAGCCATAATTCAGTAAGGCCTTCTGCCGATGATGTTGCCGTGGGGATCGTACTCGCAGACGCCGTAGGTGTCGCCGCTGTCGCAGAAGATCCTTGCGCAGCCGACGCGCTGCGTCGTCCTCCACACCATCTGCGTGTAGTGGTAGCAGTCGGCGTTGCTGGAGCAGGTGTTGGTTCTGTAATCGTAGAAGCGCTGCTCGGCCGCCCAGGCGGCGACGACGTCCCGGATCGTCCAGCTCTTGCCTTGTCCCCAGAAGATGTTCTCGCCGTAGGACAAGGTGGAGTGCACCAGCGCGCAGTCCCGCTTCCGCTGGTTGGCGTATTGCAGCGCGACGTCGGCCAACTGGGTGCTCCACTGCAGGGGAGGGACCCCGATGCTCTTCCGCAGCTCGTTGTGGGGAACAAGGAACTCCGCTGCGTCGCCGCTCACTGCGCTGAGAGAACGGCCATCTACGTGAGAGAGGAGGAGTGGGACGATGAGGAGGAAGGTGGGAAGAGAGTTGATGATGGCCATGACACGACAATGTCGAATGAGAGAGAAGGATTGTTCTTTCTTGGAGTCGATGAGAGTTGCGTGGGTTATATACTGATGGTAATCCATGAGAGGTTTGGTGGTGGGATCATGTGAGCATGTGAGTGAGGCAGGAATAAGAAGGATTAGAACTCAAAAGTCAGTGCTCGGGAACATGATCAGGTAGCTAATCATGGTTGTAAGTCCGGCTACGTGTTGTTGTGGTGGTGGTGGGAAGAAATGTCTGCATCAATGTTCTCCGCATTCCACCACCAGATGTAAGACGGAGGAGAGAGAGACAGCGTCAAAAGTCAACGATGTAGGAGATTATGACAAGAGATGCATGGAGACACATGCTCCCCATGTGGAATTCAGTATGTTTAGTCTTGACGAACTCAAATACATGCTGTTATATGCTTGTTGCATTCTGAGAACATGGAAGGAGGTATGAAAGTCCTACGAGTGTGTTTTGTTTAATGTATTTGATGTTATGGTAGAGTTGCATGCAAGCCATGCATGCTTTAATAATGTTCAGAAACCATTTTTATTGGCCACAATGCTGTTTCAAGGAGAAAAAATGTTAAAGAACTACCAAAACGTTAGATTCTCTCAGATGAGGAATGTAGTCATATATTGTTCAGGCATTACTATCATGTGGAGAGAAGTTTTAAGCTGTATTTTATATTGATCTATGTATTAAATCTTAAAAATGATTCACTAAGGAGATTAGTAACTGAGAACATTGATGTTTCTCTCACTATTTTGGTTCTGCAAAATCAACTGTCTGAGACTGGCAAAGAGGGAGAAAACTGTTACCTGTTTACACAATGAATGAGAATATTATCCTACTTTCAAATTAAAGGCATTTGGACTCGTCAAATTTGCATAAACATGGAGAACAAATTATTGTGAATGTAGGCAGCAAATATGAAGAAACAGAAGAACTATAAGAGTTGTTCCTCTTTCACTCTCTGCAATCTTCATGGTACAAAGACCCCCCAGTATCCTGCTCTACAAATGCGTCTTCAGTAAAGAAAGAAGATTAATCTCTTTCTCTGTTTTACTCGACAAGAAGTCCATCTCCTCTTTTCCAGTGTCTCTGTGTTTTTTCGAAATATAGCAGCTCCATCATCCTCGAGGTTGCTTTCACAAGTACTTTCAAAACTAGATCCAGTCAAACCACATGAAAAAACATGCGAGTAAAGCATCAGCTTGAAAAGAAACAGACTGATCTCCAATCAGGTAAGAGGTCCTCATCAAACTGCATTATTTGCACCCTTCCACAAAAACACATAGATATAAGTTTACCTTAGACACTACATTATGCTATATCTGCTGAAATGGATCACACTGAAACATCAATACCTTAGCATAAAGAAGCAACTCTTAAGGCATAATGATTCTGTGTAACTTTCATAGTTGTCAGGCTTTCTAGATGTCTTCCCATGGTGGTACATCTATAAGAAAAAAACTCTGTTTAGTGAATAGAATTCATGCATGAACTTAATTAGCTGAAACATCTATGAGGACCTCTCGTCGGGGAATGTTGTGCCAATAGACATGCTCCTATCCTATACAGCATAAGTAAAAAGATCGCGTTACCATGTATCGGTACTGTTGACATGCTTCAAAACGGTGCCTGCTGATACCTTTCTTTGCTTGGTAGGTACCCATCCGTGCTGACTGCCAAGGCAACCCTAGATATCATATTCCAACTTTCCAAGATAAACATCTGAATGAGCATCCCAGAGGCAAACTTAACATAATAAAAAGGGCCAATTTTGCAATGTATCTGACTACTGCAATGTAAAAACCAAACAGATGCATATTGTCAACAACAAACAACAAGGCGCAGATACTACAACCACCCATACCATGTCAAACAATATAAACTACAAAAACGACATAGGCAGATGCGCAAAGATCAATATGGTTGACCTTGATGAACAAATATACCCTCTAATTTCATTTCAAATAGCAGTCAAGAAAGCTTACTAAATCTAATGATCTAAAGAATTTTCATGTCAAGACTGTGAGTATAAATTAACCCATGTAAAACATGCATGGGAGAAAAAGGATGTCAATTCAGTCAATCAATAAATTTGTCGAAAAACGAGGGGGCATAGCCTCAAGGTAAAAATGATTTAGAATTATCCTCATACCAGATGCCACCATGCATCCAAAAATAAATGAATAAGGTGCTAGTAAGAAAAGTACAAGTTACTTCTAACCGAGGATGCAAATAAATTTCAGGACTGAAATCTGAGTGTCTTTATCATACATATCTACCATGGGTTATATTTCGCTATCAAATCACATATATATATATCCTAACATATGAAACACCAAAAACGAAATCTAACATCAGGTTTTCTCTACTGAAGTAAGATTCGCCATCTTTTCTACAAAATGATCAACATTTATCCTATTCCGACACATGTTTTCCACCTCTCTTATCTTTCCTTCACTTTGTTCATCATCTGAATCTCTTCTTTTCAACTGGACTACCTTAGTAACAGAAGAATCTGGTATCTCTGTAAGAAATTGTTCCCAAAACACATCATTTACTCCAGTGGGCATGGTAGATGTGGTGGTACTGGTTGCTTGATCTCTCAATGAATCAACCTCAGTAGCTGCAGGTTCTAAATTAACATCTATCTCAGCAACCTTGATCCTTGAATCTGTTTGATTTTCAGCTGCAGGAATACCAGGAGTTTCCACATGGCTCATACATTCTGCTGTCTCTGGAGACGAATGGATATCTCCCAGGCAAGGTGAAGAAGGATATAAGTTAGGCAAAAGTGATTGCAGACTTGCACCAGTCTCCACTGATGATGCATTCATTTCAGTGAGAAGAACATCAGTGGGAAGGCAAGCCACAATGCTATCATAGCACATGTCATCACCGGAAGTTTGACTAACACCTCTGAAGAAATTCTCCAATGAATTCAACGATGACTCCATCTTCTCAAAGGGCTCCATGTCAAATATCTGAATAGATGCATAGCCTGATTTTTCACCTGCCAAGGGCTGCTGGAAAGTGACAATTTGATTATCTTCCATAGCAGTGTCCTCATTGAAGTAATTGATTTTTGGCAATCGCCTCTTCTTGCTGAGAAGATCAGAGTCTTGTACAAGGTTAGACAGGAACCAAGGCTCCTGCACGATCTGTGTCAAGAAGGCCATCAAATTTCTATGTCGGTCTCCCAGGACCTGTAATCTTTCCTCTAAGGACTGCATTTGGTGCTCCATTCCATGCTGCTTGTGCACGTTCTTCTGAAGCTCATTCACAAGCATAGCCTTTTCTTGCTTAAGCCGCTCAATCTCCTCTTCAAGATCCTGCTTTTGAGCTTCCGACAGTGGTCCTGAAGAGCTACCTTGGTTGTGCGGCGAATGGCTATATACTGGCTTGCGTCTGTGTATGTTCTTCAGGAGGTGCTTTTCTCCTCGTATAAAATCCTCATTTGCAAACTCCCACTGATCAGGGTCTATCTTTCTGAAACCCTGCAAGGGTCAATGAACAGTTTAATATCTTTTGAATCACACATCAGAAACACTAACCAGTTCACACCACTTGAAGATGATCAAGGCAAAAAAGGTATTCATACTTATCTAAGTCATGTTTACTAACTTATTGCCAATCGAACTCGCAAATTGAAGAGAGGGAAGAAAGGAAGAACTTGTCCAAAACTCTACACGATCTAAAATAAATCGACATGTAGAAAAACTAATTAACTGAATCATCAGAATGGTGGAAAATAGACCACCGGCTCAATCAACTCATCTCTAACCAATTCCAGAAGTTCAAGATCACAACAAGAACATCTTGGTTCAAGAACCAAGAATGAGGTATGAAAGCTTTGATAGAAAGCAGAAATCACTTCTGCGAACAGAACTTTCTCTCGTTCTCTACAAAAGACAAATCATACAAATAAAGCAGCCAAGAAAAGTATGCCAATTAACAATCAAACAGGAAGCAAAATACAGATTCCAACTGTTAGAAAGGAGAGGCCTTTCCATGGAATTGTTCCACTTACGTAAGTGTTAAGCTGCCTCACAAAGCTGGAGAAGTTGCTGTGCTTAAAATACTTGGGCAGCAAATCCCTAGCGAACTCCAGCTGATTCCACACGACGAAGCTCAGGTTGGTGGGGCTCCACGAGACAATGGAGTTCGTGGCCGGGTCGTCCACCATCTCGTACGTCTTGGTGAGGAACGGGGGAGGGGAACTCGAACTCGAACTCCCCCGTGGGCTCTCCATCCCTATCAACAAATCGAACACCAACGACCGAGGAATTAGGTCGAATCGCATCCAATAATGGAAGGATCAACCTCGAGACCGCCGTCCCACGCAAGAACCTCGATCGATCCGCTGCTCCCTCTTCCAACGGGTCGCACCCCAAAAAGAAACAATCTTGAACAGCTTCTGATCACCGAGCAGGCGACACCGGCGAACACCCTGCGGAAAGGTCCGGCCTTTACGGCGAGGAGGCTCGAAGGGAAGCAAGAGAGGAGAGGAAGAAGAACCAGAAGAAAGAATGCTTTTTCTTCCTCCTCCCTTTCGATCTGCTTCTGTGGATTGGGTAATAATCTTTATAGGGAGAAACCAATGGAGATTTCGTATGTTTTACTTTCGTCTCATTGAAATTTCCAGAAGAAAGAAAGGATAACAAAATAAATTTCATTTGACTTTAGATGTAGATATATATTACTCTCATTTCATTGGCTTAAATATTTTACACTTTGTTAAATGAATGAATTTTTACATATATCTCCGACCTCAAATAGTTGTTTTGGTACTCATATTAATATTTATATACTCTTCCACAAATTAGTTTTAGTTTTTATAATATTTTTTTATAAAATAATATCTTTATTTAGGAAATAAAACTATATATATATTCTCTTTTTCTTTGATTTATAATAACAATTTTATATAAAGTGAAATATTATTAGGGTAAAATCATGTATATATATATATATTATTTTTTAATTCTTTATGAGGCAAAGTGAATATGGATCACAATCAATAACATTAATAATAAAATAATAAATCTCGACTATTTTATTTTAAGTCCGAATCTTTTATCGTTGGGATCCGTAAAAGGTTTGATGCGAATTACATTAAACTATTATAATTCACTATTTTTATTAATTTTTACCATTTTATTACTGATATTTTAAGCATAATGTGCCATAGGATCCACAGAAAAGTTATCATGAGGGGTCAAAGCATGTTCTAACAGAAGAAGAAGAAGAAGAAGAAGAAGAAGAAGATGGCGTAGAAGCTTCCTTGTGCAATTGTTTCCGACGACTTCCATCGTTTCTCTCTCCAAGACTACGTGGACTTTTTTGTTTGGCGCTACGTGGTCGACTCTGTGTCTTCTGCAGAGGTTTCGTAAGCAGGATCGTCATCATGCCACTGAACGCTCGGTTCATCGTTCTAGAATCAAGACTGGTATTCCAAGCTCCACCGGAGCTGAATTATGAGTATCCATGTCGTCATTCTTATCCGTAATTTTGTTCTACACGGATGGAGAAGTTCAACGACGAACACTTGCCGGTGACGTTCTTCTGAAGTGACAGCAGCAGCTGCCTCGGATCAGAACGATGGCATGCATGTCTTGAATCTTAGACGACCACCACCGGAGATGGAATGTTGCAGAGATAGGAACTCTTTTATGGGGGCGTTTCCTTGGAGCACGCTGACAATGGCAGACAATTTTAGGCCTCGGAGTTGGAGATGTGTTGGTGCATAGAAGAGCCAGCTTTAACATCTGCGGAGCTTCTTCCATGGAGAAGGCAGAAGCAATAGCAGAGGATCAACAGTTGACAAATTCGCGGTTTCCTTGGTAATAGGGCAAAAGAATTCTGATTACTTCTTAGAACAGTTGACAAATTCGCGGCTTCCTTCGATTTTGAAGATGCTTGACGGTGATTTCAGAACCAACCGACAACACACCCTTGGCCAATTCAAGCAAGAAAAATATGATGGTAAAGATGATCAACACTAAGAAAAAACTAGCATAATGAGCAACACAGAAATGCATAAATGTACCTTGTAAACTCCACCTTCACCTATCTTGTTTGCAGGATCAAAGTTCCTGGTTGCAGCTTTGATATGCTTTAAGCTGAACTGCCCAGTTTGCAGCTCTAGACCTCAAAGCTGTGTGTGCAAGTATCATGCAGGAAACCATCAAATGTTAATTCTGAATCAACAAGATGAAAGTTACTTACTTGGAGAAAAGTGAATCTTCTGAGATTTATTGTAAGACAGGTTTACAATAGCATATAGAAACAAGAATTTGTTTCTTTTTTCATGATAATCTATCTATAGATGGATTTCGGAAAATATTTTAATCCAATTCCAAGCAAAACTGAAACACAATGGCTAAATGATTGACCAGTTTCCCCCTCTATGACATATTTGAAGTGCTAAAAGCCGAAAAAGAAATGCATAAATAACATCCTTGCTTACCATTGTATTTGGAATCTTTCCTTCTGATATAACAGCAAATTAGGCATAAGGATCAGCAGAATCGTAACACAAGCAGCAGCAACAATGGCCGGTAGATAGCTTGTGACCTGTTTCAGGCTTGAAATCTACATGGAAGCAAAGACTTCACAGCATTGGCACGCAAACAACACACGATAAAATTGAAGAACAGGCTTCCACAAGCTTGCTTGGTGTCACCGAAATGGTTGATACAAGAGGAGCATACACACCCCTGAACGGAACGGGGTTTGTGCCCTTCCCAGCCCAACAAAAATGAGTCTCCAAGGTGCCATCTACCATGACAGTGAAGGACTCGATGATTTCCTTACCAGTTCCATTAGCTTCCTTATCAATGTTGAAGTCTTGCAGAAGAAGGCTGCTACATGTTTCATCATCTGCGAACACTATCTCGGCAAAATGCAGATTGACTGTGTACAAACAAAAGTCCATAGTATTTGGGTAAGGAGGGATTAAGCCTTGCGGTCATGTAAAATTCTGGCTTGGTTATGTCCAGTGCTGTTGTGGTATCGACGAAATCTCCTGTGGAGCTATAAGCCCAATTCTTGCTCTCAGAAATGGGAAATTCTTATGCATCTTGTGTTAGATTATGTGATCTTTTATAATATGATTTATTGGGGGATATCATTGATAGAAAAAACTCTTCTATAAATAGACAAGATATCAAGGAGCTAAATGACGTCGTTGAGAGACTACAATTTTTCTCTCGATCTTCCTGAACTATCAATCTATAAAAGATAGGAGGAGAAAAAGAGTCTAATTTTCCTTACAAATTGATAATAGTTTTGGATCTAGGACTAGTGCCATCATACCAAGATTTTTTCAAATGGTACACATCATATTTTATGCTTATAATTGGTATTAGAGTCTAGATTCTTGAAATCAAATATCATAGATCTATTATTTTCTAATTTATAATATTTGAATGATCCATGTCGATCTATCTTTCTATCTATCCTGTGAGATTCTTTGTATCATTGTCTTCCATGATCGCAAGACAGCGACGGTTGTGCTACCTACATGGCGCACGACGACGGTAATAACACCGCTGTCGATGGAATCCATAACACTAGCACAGCTACGTGCAGTCTTCTACGATAATTGCCAACACCAGGTGGTGAGCCATGCGCTGTGTTGATCACGTACAACGGGTAGGCAGTCGTCACACGGGCGGCCACGCGCGAGTAGAAACCACATCCAAACGGTGGCAGTGTGCAAGCATAGGCCATGCCCAAGCGACGATCGTGTGTTGGGTTGGTGCTGCAAGGGGGCCGCATAGTCGGCAATCGCCCGCAACCAACGATCGTGCAAGCAGCAACAACGACGCAAGGCAACAAATTAAGGTTTTTAGGCAAATTATAGTTTTGCCGTAGGGTTTCCTTTCGGTCAAATTATGACTGTACCCTTTTGTACTTTATTAATGTCTTTTAATATTTTAATAATTTTACCCTTTAGAAATATCATAATTACATCTGATATCCTATCAATAAAATTATAGTTTTATCGTTATGAAATTGAGAATTTCTAATTTATATCCTTAATTATAAAATTAATAAATATGATTTATTTTAATTATGATTGAATTTAATCATGATTATATTTTGTTATTTAATTAAATTTAATTTTATAAAAAAATTATAAATTTCAGTTTTCTTTTATAATTTTCTCATATGATTTATTGATTACATTTTACATATGGTAAATAAAATCTAATTATTATTGTTGGATTTTTCTTTAGTTATTGGCATGCATATATTTGGAATTATATAATAATATTTATCTTTAAGATGAAAGTATTTAAAATTATGAAATAATATTTATCTTTCACATGAAGACATAATTTATATGTTATCATGATTATCATATAAGCTTTTTTTTACTGATTAATGCTCAATAATTATTATGATTGTTATTCTATTATTGAACTGTTTAGCATAAATTAAATTAAAAAAATTTGATGAATATTATTTGTAACTCATCTCTCTAAGTTTTATCTGACTTGTAGCTACCAAAGTATCACACGATGATAGATTTTTGGGATGTAAATTACAATAAAAGTTTTCTCATTTATAGGATATTTTAAATTATATTTTATAGTCTTCTAGCCACTAAAGTGACCTAGATTAATAACTTATAAAATTACATTAAGGAACTAGTCCTAAATGACATTAAGGAAATAATACTCACAATGACACACATAATTATGAGATCTAAATAATCCCAAAGGAAAATCTACTTCAAATAATTATGTGATGGGATAGAGTGATACTGTTTTGAATATCCTTGCAGCTTAAGGTTGTATGCCCAAAGGTAACAATACTATTCCACAAGAATGGTATCAGTCCTCCATAAATGACCTTGAGTGAATACTAGATATTCCATAAATGACCTTGAGTGAATACTAGATATGTCAATATTTCACCCAAAGGTGAAATATGAATGATATCAATAGTTTATCAAATTTTGAAAACTCAAAGTATTAATATTATTTTATATTTTATAATGGTACTTTCCTCTATACATTCTCATGCTTCTAGTATCCCTATACTCTCTGGATTAAATTAGTTAGAATAGTTAGAGTATGTGCAATTCACGTTAGGTATATTAGATCTTGACTTAGCATTGCTCGTTAAAAAGTTATCAAACTTGACTGATGAAAGTATTATGGAACAAGTTAATGAAATGAAAACTTGGGAAAGATCTAATAGGCTTAGTTTAATGTTCATAAGAATAATGATTGTAAATAATATAAATACTTCATTATCGATTGCAACTAATGCACGAAAATATTTAAAGGTTATTGAAGATAGATTTAAATCTACTAATAAGTCATTGAACATACTAATGAAAGAACTAACTATGATTTAGTATGATAGTACTCAAGGAATTCAAGATATATCCTCAATACGGTTGATAAAGTTGTAAAACTTAAAGTATTAGTCATGAATGTTGATGAGTATTTCCTCGTACAATTTATTCTTAATTCTCTTCCTTCTTAGTTTAGCCCATTCAAGATTCACTATAATATAAATAAGAATAAGTAGAACTTGAATGAGTTAACTAATATTTGTG